AATCAAATGTGTTAGTCTGAAAAGATGCTCTCAGTCTCCTGAGTTTAAGGAGTCTCCTTGAGTCTCCTTGAGTCTCCTCTAACGAAGACTAAAGCAGCTGTCCTCCTATGAGGTCTTCTCATGACCATCATGTTGTAAAAAGCCCATGAGATGCTTTCAACATTCCAGTTGCGCCTCTTGTGCTAGAAATCTTTCCTTCCCCCATTTAACATCCACAACATTTTGGCTTTGATTCAGCCGGGGTCATTTTCTCTCTCTGCCGAAAGACAGGGATTGGGGATGTCAGAACCAAATTGTTTTCTTTCAGTGAGGGCCACTCTGCAGTTTGTTAAAAGACATTGCATTAAAAGATCCCGCCATCCGGCTTTTGGGATGGGGAGGGGGGAGGTAAGGAAAGGCAGTTAATTGAATTCCAAATACCTTGAAAGCCGTGCAGCCTCTGCAAACATATTTTCTCTCTCTCTCCCCCCTTTTGCTACAAAATAGAAACTTGAAGCTCATCCTTTCCTGCAATATCTATTTGCCCTGTGATCAAATGTTGTGTATGATTCGTTGCTTAAATAACCACATGGGTTGCATTCATATTGTTAAGAAAGGGAGGAAATGTTTCCTGTTCAGAGAGTAGAAGAAAAGGAACTATTATTATTATTGTGGTTGGTCACATAGCCAGATGTTTAGACTGGATTTGGCATTTTTATCCACCTATGGAGACTTTCCCAACAACCTGGGATAGGCAGAAGTTGTTCTTTGATGGTGTTAAAGGGATCGTCACAGGATATAAGGTGTTCCAAGCAAAGCCGCCTTTTGCAATTGGCTGATGGTGATTCTGTCACTGCCGATGGTCTTCAAGGGCTGCTCCAGATGTTTTAGGATTGCACCCAAGGCGCCTATTACTATTGGTACTATCTTTGGTTTCCTTTGCCATAGTAGTTCTACTTCTATTTGCAGGTCTTTATATTTTGTGAATTCCTCCAGTTCTTTCTCTTCTCTTCTGCTGTCTCCAGGTATTGCAATGTCCACTATCCAGACGTTTTTGTCTTTCTTATCTATTATTATTATTATTATTATTGCTGTCTCCAGGTATTGCAATGTCCACTATCCAGACGTTTTTGTCTTTCTTAT